GGGGAAGCAGGCAAAGCAGGGGGGTTGGGAGGCCATATCCCACCCAAGGAGAGAAATCCAGGGACGGCAGTGTTGGTGGTATTCTCCAACCTCTAGGGGGCGCTAGAGGGTACTCCTCTTCACCCTTCTAGGAAGAGGAGCACTGACATGGGTTGATGGGTTGGATGAGTCAGCCAGGTTCTAAGGGGTGTGCTTTTAATGGCAGTACCAAAGAAAGACTCTCGCTGTTGCATATAGTGACATCTTGGAGTGGCATAGTGTTTAGATTATTTATCTTGTAATTCTAAAAGGCTGGTGCAGAAAGCAAGTAGAACATAGTAGTAGTAGTAATAGTAGTAGTAATTGTTGTAAGTTGCCATTGAGTCAGTTCAGATAAGACTCTGTGTTTTCTTTTCTCTTCTCCCACCCAGGTACACACTTAGCTCTTATATCCTTGATGAGAGGTGAGATCCTTTGGCAGATAGGCCTGGGGCTATTCCCCACTTGGGGATGCCTCTTCACCTCTTCCCACTCCTCCCAGCCCCCAACTGCCTTGGGAATGTCCAAGAGGGTGGTGTGAGGGAAAGGAACCTTGGACTCCAGATAACCAGCCTCTGATCCTCTCAACAGGTGTTTACTAAGTGACTACTATGTGCTATGAGCTGGATTACACTGCCTTGCCTGCCTGAGTTCATGATCCTTTAGAGAAGACAGACTCCACCTGTTATGGATTGAATTGTGTTCCCTAAAAAGTATGTAATGTAAATTCTAACCTCTATGTCAGTGGTTATAATCCCATTTGGGAATGGATTGCTTTGGTTATGTAATGAGGCAGGATTAGTACAGGGTGTATTTTGAATCAATCTCTTAAAAAATATAAAGAGGGCAGATTAGGCAAGCAGAGATGAGAGGAAGATAAATGCCAAGCCACATGTAGATCTCCAAGGAACTAGGAAACAAGAGCTGAAGGACTTCCTCCAGAGCCCACAGAGAGAGAAAGCCTTCCCCTAGAGCCAACTCCCTGAATTCAGACTTCTAGCCTCCTAAACCCTGAGAAAATAAATTCTGTTTCTTAAAGCCATCCACTTGTGGTATTTCTGTTATAGCAGCACTAGATAACTAAGACACCACCTCATTAAATAAGAAATTCCAATATGTCATGACAAGTTTTACAAAAGGGGAAACACGTGCAGTTGTGAGATCCCACAGCAGAGCTCAGTCTAGACAGGCATTTGGGGCTAGAAACCAAAGACAGCTCTGCAGCTAGTGGAGATGGATGGATGATGGCTGCTTGAAGAGAAGGAAGTTGGGGATTCAGGCCTCAAGTGCCAAAACCAGCATAGCATAACCGATGGGGGCAGGCAGCCCAATGGGAAGAACCAGGTGGAGGAAGGCAGCCTGGGCAGAAGGGTTCCAGGGATGTGGCACCAGCTGGGTCCCCTGATAAGTAGGATAGCAGTGTGGTTACAAGTAAGGGATTTAGAGTCAGGCAGACCTGGGTTCAAACCCTGGCTTGGCCATTTACTTGTTTTATGGATAAATTATGTATCCTCTCTGAACCTGTTTCTTCATCTATAAAATGGGAATAATAATATTGCCGACTTTACTAGGTTGCTGTGAGGACTGAGTTCATACATGAAAGTGCTTGGAACAGTGCTGGGTAAGTGGTGAGTGCTCAGTGAACACTAGCTATTAGTGTCATGCCCCTGGGTGCCCAGAACAGCTTTCTGAGCATGGTAGGCGGGTGAGGACATGGTGAGGGCACAAGACTCCCTGGCTGATTCCTTTGTCCTCCGTGTTCCTACTCAGCCCCAGCGTCCATTTAATGGGCACGGTCAATGAGGCAGGTCTTGTGCTGGGTTTGTGGCACACCTTATTTCTAACCTTTCCCACAATTCAGGACTTACTTGTCCCTTTTGAAGGTGGGAACCTGAGACTTGGAAAGGTCTGAGATCAGCTAGTCTCCAGACAAGGAACATCTGACTCTGCTGAGCAATGAGATTCCCTTAATCCTGCTGGCAATGACAATGAAACAGGCAGGTTGGGCACATGGGTCAAGGTAATGCTGCTGAAGCTACCTGCTGGTTCTTCGGACAAACTCAAACTCTGCAGTGTTCAAGATCCCACAGTTTGGTTCTCCAGGCCCCCTGCACATTATTCTAGCCTCACCTCAACAAAACCACACACCCACCATGCTAATTATGTCAGTACTGTTCTCTGTAGTCAGCTTATTTTTTTAAAAACCGTAAACCCACAGCTCAACTGCAAATGGAAATTCAAATCCATACATACATTGGCGACTGAGCAGTTAAATGCCTTTCCATTGGGGGTGGGGATGCCGAAGGCTTGTTGTTGCACTGGTTCTAGATAATCTAGAGAGCTTCCTTACCAATCTGTAGCATTTAGTTCTGAGGGAAAAGCTACTGGGAAGCAGGTATCTTTGTGATTTTATTACCTCTGCAAACTAGTTGCCTTGCTGGACCTCTGAAACTCCTGATTTATCCTTATCAGCCCCTGAAAAACTGTCTAAGGGAAAAAAAATAAAAATAAAAAAAATGATGCACTGATTTAACCATTTATCAAGCACCAATTCTATGCCAGGCCCTGCGCTGGGAGCTGGGGTACTGAGAGTAATAAAGCACTGTCCCTGCCTTCAGGAAGCTCACAATTTAACATGTGAGGTCAACAAATAAGCACTTTTAATACAATTCCATTTGTACTATAATAAAAACATTGAGCACAGCCAGTGCGCCTGTGTGCAAGAGACTAACTAACCAAGCACTTAGGTAATGAGCAAAGCGGGAGAAATTTTTTAAAAAATAATTGGTTATTGGGTTTTTTTTTTAAGTCACAACGTGGTTGGCATGAGAAAAACCAGAACTTTGTCAGGAATCCTTATACTTATTTTACAGTTTAATATTGCTTTTATTTTGAATTATTTATTAGGAGATGGCAGGCAACACAACCATTTCAATGCTCAGAGCTTCTTAATCCACAGAGAAAAGTAGCTAGATTTGAGAACTATTTAATGGGGTATAAAACTGACAGAATTTGATGACCACCTAATAAGGGAAGTCACTAAAAGGAAGCTGTGGATGAGCCTAAGGTTCCTGGGTTGGGTAACTGGGCTACAGGTATCACCAATACATAGGGAATACTGGAAGCTTAGGAGAAGAGCTAATGAGTTTGCTTTGGAAGGGAAACATCCAGGTGAAGATGTCCAAGAGTCAGCTAGATATATGGGCTGTCTAGATCCAGAGCTTCTATGGGCTAGGAAGCCAGTAGACATATATCAGGCCAAATGTCTTGGCAGGAGAGATATATCCGGAAGCTTCAGAGTATGGTAGTGGAAGGAGTGGGCATCGATGAGCTCATGCAGGGAGTGGTGAAAGGAAATGGGGAAAAGTACAAGGAATAAAATTCTGCACATCCCCATATTTAAGGGAGGGGAATAAATGCTACTATTAGGGACCAAAAAGGATCAGTCAAGAGGTAGGAGAAAAATCAATAAAGCATGGTGTCCTAGAAGCCTGGGAATGGGAATTTAAAAAGGAGGGATCCAAAGTGTCCCAAGCCACAGAGAAGTGAAGGAAGAGAAGGACAGTACAATGTATTTGACAATTAGGGTGATCAACAGTGATCTTTTCTAAAAAGTTTCAGTGGAGTCCTGGGACAGCAGCTGGACTAAAGGGAGTGAATGGCAGTAGAAAAGTGAGCCGAAGACCCCCTTTGAAGAGAGTTGATTGTAAAAGAGAAAGAGAATGTGAAATCAAATTGATAACGGCAACTCGAACAGTTAGATGGGAAGCTTAGGGGGCAGTGAGTTTAAAATAATGGTGATGGAATAATGTGGAAAAGAATAGCAAGAATGGTAGCACAACCTGAAGAACGTAAGCAATATCACTGAATTGTACATATAGAAATTGTTTTAAAAAAGAGATGGGATGATAGCTAACAAAAGGTCAATGGGACCAAGAAGTCTTGTTGACTTGTTTTCTGTTTATAGGACAAGGGGAAATATCCAATAGGGAGAGCCATTGATTGATTGACAGTAAGGAAAGTAAGGAGCCTGGGTTTTTGGGGAGGTTTTTGCGGGGGTGGGGAAGAGGCAGTGCACAGGTAGAGGCATCTGGGGGAAGAGGGTAAAGGTAAATGAGAAAGCTCCCCCTTTTCAAATCCTTATATTCATTTTATCCAGTCACCACTGGGCCAGGAAGGGTAACTGTTCAGTCCTGAACATCTTTTAAAGTCAATAGTGTGAAGAGGACACGAAATGAATGTGCTTTCCCCTCTGATGTGCCAAATCGTGCTGATCATCTGTCACCAAGTCCATTTCCAAATCTCTGCTGCCTGCAAGGCCAAACAGTACAGGGACCGATTATCAAGTAGGCAAGGTAAGCACCCTGCTTACCATGTTTGCCAGATCATCTGTAGTGAATAATTTCACATTTTTCAGCACATCAAAGATTCTGCTTCTAGGTATGACTGGCATTTGTCTCTCTCCCAATCCCACAGCACCCTGCTACAGAATCAAAGCCTCTTTTCAAATTTATAATCCCTGACAGGGTGGATGACCCAATGGGCAAGGTAAGCACAGGCTTACTTGTGCTTACTTACTAATCTACAGTCAACAATTTCACACTATAGATTAAATAAGCACAAGTAAGCCCGTGCTTACCTTGCCTATGGGATAATCCGAACCTGAAACACCACACTGAAATGTGGGAAAGGCTTTTAAAAAGAAATGCATTGGAAGCTCCGGAAGCCACAGCACAACTACTCCCTCCTCCAAACCCTGTCCCCCCCCAAATTCTCTACTGACCAAAGAGCTGACAGTAAATGAATCTCTAAAAAGCAAGGTTCAAGCACCGCGGAGCAGTGTGCAAGCTCGGGTGAGCTGGCCTTTTTCTTCTCCCCGGAGGCCTGTCATACCCAAGGGGCAGGGACAAATCTAGCCAGAAAAACAATTCAAGTCAGATCCAGGCGGTTCTGGGTCAGCCAAACTAGAGCAGGAGCCTCACCAGGACAAACCTCAGAGAGGCCTGACGGCCGATAGAGAAGATCCCCCCACTGCCCATGTGGCAAGTCTGGGTGACCAGCGGCATTGATGTGCACAGCTTTCTGGTGGGTGTGGGTGTGAGCAAGACCAAGTTCCCAGGCGCGTGCATCGCGGGCGCCCCTCTCTGGGTGTCGGCGGCTATGGCTCTTAGGAGAACACGAGAAGGTCCGATCAAGTCGGGAAGAGAGAGCCGGGCCTGGCTCAGGGCGACCCCCCTGCTTGGGAACCTCAACATTCCGCGACTAAGGGGTGAACGACACGGTCTGTGGGGTTCGGCTCACAAGATGCTGGGGCCCAAAGTGAGCCTGAAAGCTCACCACTCACTGGCCTGCCAGAGGATGAGGGGCACTCTCCAAGAAGAGGGCACTGGGTGTTGGGGTTGCTGAGGCCAACCCTTCAGAGGTTCAATCGGTGGTTAAAAAACAAAAAAACAAAACCGCTCCCAGCCTGAGATGCCCTGGGTCCAGGCCTTGGCAGCAGGTGTTTCAGGTCTTCTCCCCGGCGGGGTGTCAGCCTCCGGACTAAATGAAAATGCAGCTCCAGGCCTACCCGTTTGGACCCGTCCCCACCCGGGCACACGGAACTTTCCAGGCTGTAGCTAAAGCAGAGCTTCAGATGCACGGGGTAAAATGGGGGGAAAACAGTTGAGGCCAGTGGCCCCCACTGGGGACTAGATTCCCTCCAAGGACTGCATGCCTTCCGCGGTCGGCAAGCTGCAGCCAGACACAGCGAAGTTCGGGACTCGCCGCACCCGCCGGGTCTGCCCCCTCCTCGACTCGGTCGCCGGTAGCGATCCTGCCGCCAGCGCCGCCGCTGCCGCAGCCCGGGCGCTCGGCTGCAGGAGGGCGCGGGAAAGGGCACTTTGGCGCGGAGTGGGAACCAAGGGGGACGTGGCAGCGCGGGGCCCGGCGGTGACACTGCCTCCCCCGCCCCTGGGCACAACCCCTGCCCCCGCCTCCCCGTCACTAAGCTCTCTCCAGCCCCTACCCGAGCCCTTCTGCAAAGCGTGCGTGGGACCCCCGCCCTGGGCTCCCGCCCACCTGGCCCCCCTACTAGCCCGGAGCGCCGAAGGAGGGAGACAATTGGGGAGGGGGTGGCGGCCGCAGTCTGAGGGCGGCTCCAGCGGGGGCGAGGGTTCCGTTCCGGAGAAAATGGGCGAAGGCAGGGAAGGGGAGACCCCGCAGACGCGGAAATGGGGAGGAGGCGCGCCATTTCTCTCAGCCCCTCGACGGGTGTGCCAACCAGAATTGGGGGGGGGGGGTCCGGGAAAGTTTATCGGGGAAAGCCTAGCACCTTGGGGGCTGGATGGCTGTAGAAATTGAAGCCATGGGCCGGGCGCCCCGCAACCCCAGGCGGGGATGTCTGTCTCCCAGACCCCCACACCCGCCGGACCTGGCCAAGTTGCAGTGGGGTTGGGGGCAGCAGTGAGCGTGAGGGTGGAGGTGGCGACGTGGTTGAGAGTGGGGTGGAGGTAGAGAGGCAAAACTGAAAATGAGGGTGGGCGATTGGGCGGGTGCGAGGTTAAGGCGGGGAGACGGCGGGGGTAGAGACCAGGACCAGGTCGGGGCTGAGTGGGC